TTCTGGAAAGAACAGCTACAAGTGTGGATGACTCTCTCTCCCCCTTCTACAGTTTGTAAAAGCACTCCTGATCCCGGAAGATGTTTAAAAAAAAAAATTAAAAAAGTAAAAATCACCCTGAGCATCCCTGTCCTGAGATAGGATGCGGAGTTTCTGCTCTTCCCAAGAAACTTTGCTGCCTCTTGTGATGACTTTGCTTCTAGTGAGGGGTAGGCAGAGGTGAGCTCCTCCTGGCAGATAAAGGGACAGTGCAAGAGGGTTAACAGGACGAGGATGGCCATAAGCAGCATCAATGAGATGGGATGCCAGCCCTGGATCTATAGCAGTATCCCATTCATACAGAGCTTATTGTTTATAACCCAGTCATGTTTCAACACTGCAGTAAGTAATGACTCCAATACGAGCTTGGGGACATTTCCTGTATCCTGAGTTTAATAGGCACATCAGCTGTCAGCCTGAGAATGTGCTTAACTCAGGATACAGTTACAGTAACTAGATGTACTAATATTTATAGCGTAATAAAGGATATACACTTCTAAAGCACTGTGTACTTTGACAGGCAGTATGAGTGAACTGCTGTGGTTTATGTTGGTCTGGGATTTTTTTAGAGTCGCATGATGATCCTTGACTTTCCAAAATATGGAGCAACCCCAGAGCAGTGCTAAACTGGAAAGGAGCTGTAAGAAACTAAGGGGCTGTATCATTGTGCCACGGAGCACTTCTTGGGTGAGAAATACTGCCTTCTGGAAGTTTCACCAGCACCAGATTCACACAGTGCCAGCAGTTGTGTTGGGGCTAGAGGATGGACTCCGCTATCTACTTTCAAATTTGAGTGATTGTATAGGGATATTAGGTTTTTCCTGTGTAGTTTCAGCTTAAAGAATTTGTGAGGGTTAAGGAGATTCTTATTTTACCTTAACCAATACTTTCTCAAGCAACAATAAATCAGCTGTCTTTTGTAAGCTCCTTAAGAGATGCTTTGATCAGCTTATTTTGATGTAGAATGGGGATGGCTGTATGTTTTTCTTTGTTTTCCTCAGAAACTAGTGTAAACATTGTGTGTCAAAGACGCTGTCACTCAGTTCAAGCTAAGTAATGTCAGGTTTGCCAGCAACTCCTTTGAAATATTGCCTCAGCTCGCACATTATTAATCAGAGGGAAATAATCTGACTCAAGTGCTACTGAGTAATTCCGTGATAGATGCAGAGAAATGAACTCCACGGAGGAGGCAGCTTGTGAACAGGCGAAGCCTAAGCTAAGTGGGGCACCTGCTGGTCAGGCGCTGCAGTGAATCAATCTGCTGTGGAAGCCTTCTCCTCTACAGGCCATTCTGTCTTCGTTTTGCTTTGCCAAACAAGCGAGTGCCAGGCCTGCGTTCCAAGCCCTTTGGCCAAAATTGCACTTTCTCCCTGAATAAATCCTTACCTCCTTTAGAGATGCCTGCCACATATATTGCAGTAGTAGTCTTGTGAAATATCTTCGTTAGAAGAAGAAAGGAAATGAGCTGAAGAAACTTGTCAAAAGCTGAGATGCAAGTCTTTAACAATCTCCAGCCCCCACCCCGTCCTGTCATGGCAGGTTGTCTGTCTGATGGGTTATAAAGCTGCCTTCCTTGTACCAGGAGCTACTTTGATACTCAGATCTGCTGCCCAAGGGCGTGTAAATGAATACAATGCATAAGACAACATAACAATATTCTATGGACATAGAATCCAGAGCAACCAAACACAGGTTGTTATCCACAGAACCCAATTGCCTTCCTCCATTCTTCAGAAAATGTTGCATGCAAAAGCATGATATTCTCTACAGTGTTAAATAACCATTAATTACGTTTGCAGCATGCATTTTAAAATGTTCCATTTTAATTTTAGTTGTGTAACACTTGCTAGTTTGGGCCAGTTAGAGGGTGTCATCTTCGGACTGATGTGTTTCTAGCTGCAAAATTCTGCGTTGTCTCTCTTTGTGCACATCACACAAGGATTTAGAATTAGCCCGAGGGCACTTTCCCAATCATGTCACCAACTTCACTGTTAGGATTAACATATTGGAATCAAACAATTAGCATGGGGAAAGCTTGCTGATATCTGTCTTTGGAGCATGGATGCACACTTGTGAAAAGGAAAAGCAACCAAATAAACAGCAAAGTAATGTTAAACTGGGAGACGATCTTATCAAACTGTTAAAATATCTTGCTTCTGCTGCTCTTACAGATAATGTCATCTTTACCTATCCAGTAAGGCCAATTAGTTTCTTAAAACTCTTTAAAATTCTGTTGCCTTAATAGAACAGTAGTCGTACATCAAAATACAAAAGCACCCTTAGTTCTG